CAGAGTTTTTTTTTTTTTTTTTACTATTGTGGTAAATGTGAAATGTTGGATAACGAGATAGTCAATAAATGAGGAGTAGGTATAGAAATGCAAAAGTATATTATTTTTGAGTTCTGATAGAGTATTATATAAATTTAGTGTCTCGGAGATTACAGTATTAGAGGACTTGCCTAGGGCCTCTGCAACTCTACTCTTAACCACATTTTAAAAGATGGTGATTAGAAAGGTAAATTGGACATGAAAACCTCACCTAAAATACAAGCTCTAAAAAAGATAAAAGACTTATTTACCCAATGACGTCACTAGGATTGGTGTCACCCAGTGTGGGGCATGAGGGAGTGGAGCAGAGGGAGTCAGCTGGGAGGGGTGGGGGGCTGGAGTGTAAGGAGTTGGGTGGGCCAGCTGGCACCTTCCCACCCCTCCACAGTGCATGGTGCCTGGGACAAGTAGTCCCCTGCAGCCTTTGCTCCAGTACTTGTGGTTGGTCATAGTTTCTGGGAGTAGAAACCTGCAGGCTTCCTTAGTTTGGAGGCAACCCCTCATCTGCAGGCAGCAGGCATTTTGGTGTCATCCCCTGTGACAGTATCACCTAGTGTGGTCCATATCTCCCCTCACTCCTCTAGTGGTGCCACTTTTACCCAGTACTGAGTGTTCAGGGTCAAAAACCAAATTCATGGCATTGTGAAGGCATCATAAACTTTCTAGAAAGAGTACATCCTCTGTGGTCAGAAATAACTGGGTTCAGTGTTTGGCTTTGCCTCTATTACATTACCTTAAACAAGTTACACCACCTCTCTAAACCTCAATTTCCTCATCTGTTAAATAGAGATGTGAAAGTTAAGGTAAGAGTTACCATCTAATTGTAATACACTATAGTTAGTAGTATAAAAAACGTAAGGAAGTAATGTATTTGACTCTGATGTGAGAATAGATGAGAAGGTACTAAGAGAAGGAAGTTAGATCTTGAGATGATCTAGTACAGAAGCAAGGCAACCATTCTTTTAAGAAGAGGATACCAAGAGAGCAAATATCTAGAAGTATTTATTAACTCTCCAAGTCTAAGTTAACCCTTCTCCCAACATGCTTCTATATTTTTCTTTACTCTAAATCAGTACACTTAATCTGTATAATTTGCCTCTGGTCTCTTACTAAGCTGTAAACTCCTTTTTTTTTTTTTTAATTGTGATTTGGGTGAAGATTTACAGAGCAGATTCACTTTCCATACAGCAGTTCACATATACTTTGTCTCATGACATTGACCACAGTTTACCACAATGCAACAGCTCCCCTCCCACTTCCTCCCCATAGTTACCCCTTCCCAGTGTCCATCCCCCATGCACTCCTGCCCCCTGAGCTGTCTCCCTGTGCATAAGCAGCCCTTCTTTCTCCCATGATTGTTCTCTCCAAGGAGTGTATCTACTGTATGTACCTGAGGTAAATGTTCAATTCATATGCCTTTTGTGTAAACTCCTTTTGAGCAAAACCAGGAAACCATATTCACTGCCATTGAGTTGATTCTGATTCATAGCAACTCCATTGAGTTGATTCTGACTCATAGTGACTCCCATTGAGATACTAAGGCTGTAAATCTTTACAGAAGCAGACTGCCTCATCTTCTGTGGCTGGTGGGTTTGAACCACTGACCTTTAGATTAGCAGCCAAGCTCTGGTGGCATACTGCTTAAGGCTTTTGACTGCTAACCAGAAGGCTGATAGTTCAGACCCACCAGCCATTCCTTCGAAAGAAGCTGGGCAATCTACTTCTGTAGAGATACCGCCTCAGAAACCCAAGGATGGTGGCTATGAGTTGCAATTGACTTGATGGCAGTTGAGTTTTTTTTTTTTTTTTTAATATACCACCAGAGCTCGCCTTTTGAGCAAGGACCTAATTTGTTTTGTTCACTACTGTATTTTCACTTATAACACGTCCACACAAATAATGTGCACATGTATATAGTGCTCATAGGAAATGTAACACAGGATGGGTTGTGCACTTTGCAAAAAACCACGTAACATGTGCATTATTTTTGTAAGAATACTATATAACCTGTTCTTTGATACATTAGACACTCATAGTATTTATTGAATGGATGAGTCAGAGGTACATTTTAACTTTTCAAAACTACATTTTGAAGTGTTTCTGAATGACACACTATGTATTTAGATTTTGTCCTATGAAATGTAGAGAGGTGATAAGTCTTTAAACAGGGAATAAATGTAAATAAAAAATAGCAAAATCCAAGGTTCTAGCCTTAGCTGTGTCATTAACTGGTTAAGTGACCTTACTTCTCTTGGAGTTGCCTTTTTCTTACCTGTTTTAACAGTATTCTTAGAATGTAATATTCAGGGATTGTGTCAGGACTTCTTAATTGGAGAGATTGAACAGAGTCTTATATACAGCTATTTCTCCTTGAGAGATGTAAGATGAACATAGAACTAAAGTTACTTTTACTAGTTGGTTAACACTTTCTGAGGTTAGTTTTGTATTGTTCTGTGGCTGTTTTGGCAACCAAATGGAAATATTCTGCCACAAAGTATGCAGAATCAGGTGTTAAAATAGTGGATGAGTTTGCATTTTTATTCCAGTAGTCAATAAATAATTTAATGACTTTTCATCAGAGACACATCTTTGTACTTTTTCTTGGTGATTTTTGGTATGAAACTCTTTCAGTAGTGTTCATATTGAGTTCTAAGAAACGATGGACTGGGAATATTGAGTTATTAATGAACTTTGAATCTCTAAGTACTTAATATATTTCCTACCCCTAGAATTTATGCTTGTCTGCCTTGACTTTATCTCTGTTGGGTGTTTCGTTGAATTTTGTTTCTTAAAAGCTTGTTGGTAGTATTTAAATTTAAGGATCAGCTATGTTTGAAATACCTGTGTTACTGCCTTAAAGTGCTTTTTGTTTCATTTATGTGTGTAACTTTGCAAATTTAGGGATAGAAAACAGAAGTTTTAGTTCTTTACTATTTTTGTAGGCCAAAACTAGAGTTGTAACACTTGTCAAAGAAACCGCTGTAGGTAGGCAGGGTTATTCTGAAGGGTATATGTTTTATTTAGTTTTTTGAAGTCTGAAATATCTTGGCCATGAACAGTATAAAATTCATTTATTGTCTGGAATAGAAAACCTAAAGGTAAATAGTGAAAGTCTTGGGAAAATATTTTAGAGTTTTTTTTTTTTTTTAAGTTTTTCTATATGTGCTTTGTAATAATTAGAGGATAATTGAGTATCTGGCAGAAGTTCTATATGAGTATCTTTATGATTTTTGTTTTTCAGGCATTTTAAAAATATTTAATCATTCATGAGTTGAGCTTCATTCTTGAGTCATGGATGACAAGGCTTCAGTTGGAAAAATCAGTGTCTCCTCAGACTCAGTATCTACTCTTAATAGTGAAGATTTTGTCTTGGTTTCCAGGCAAGGAGATGAGACACCATCTACAAATAACGGGAGTGATGATGAGAAAACAGGACTCAAGGTAAGACTCCATAACCTGTTCATTTTATTTAGCCTTGGTAAGGTCATTCCATAACTTGGCCTTAGCAGGAAAACTATATGGGAGAAAAATGAGAATAAGAAAATACACTTTTTTTTCTGATGCTAAAGAGTTTTGTTTATACTTAATAATTGTGACAAGCATATTTAATTAAGGATTTTCACTTTACTTCTCTTACATTTTCAATACCTCTGTCAAAACTAGT